CGGAATTATAAACAATCTCAATCATATGCTTCATATTTGCTAAATGACTTTTTGGTCCATTTTGGAGCCACAAGAAGCCTCTCTGTTTAGTTGCTACCTCTTCATCCCTCTCCAAGGATTGGACATTATTTTATTAGATAGATGCTCCGTGAATGTGAAATGTCTCTATTAATTATTTAATTAGAAGAGTACCAGAGCTCAGTATTTTGTAAAATCTGAAATTCTGAGAGGTAAATGCCATGGATTGTGTGTGCCGTTGTGGTATGGGTTAACTTTTGATCAACTTTGTCTTTTTGTTGAGGAAAATTTGCATATCAAAGTAAGCTGAATTGGAAACTTTGAATGTTTTGTTGCCTGATTGATCGATTTGATATAAGGCCCTGTTTTCAAACTCTATTTATAAGTGTTTTTGGCTTTTTTTTTAAGAAAAACAGCACTTATTTTATCAAACACTACCAACTTTTACTATCTCGGTTTTCGTGTAGAATCTATTTTTTACTTTTTCTATTACACAAAAAGCACTTATTTTACCAAACACTACCAACTTTTACTACTAATCACCTTTTCCCAAAAAGTGTTTTTATTTAAACACAAGTGGTTGAAAACAAAGCCTAAGTTACTTCTTCCGTCCCTTAAAATTTTTCCAACTTTCCTTTTTGGATGTCCCACTAACTTTGTCATTTTCCCTTTTAAGCAAAGAATTTGTGATTCCAGTTAATTCTCTCTCCTCTACACAAACATCAACCACACAGTTTATCAATCCCCGTGCCGGTCAAACTTGGTAAAGTTTTAAGGGACGGAGGGAGTACAAAATATGTGGAATAAGTTGTTGTCCGCTCATATATTTTTAGTTACCACTACTTGATTATCATATATGCAGAAATGTTTCCATCTACGACTGCATTGCAATTTCATCGAGAAAAAAAATGTTTTCTTCCATCTGTCATTACATTGCAATGGGATTTTCAACCTTGGAGCAAGGAGGGTTGCCAGCACACCAACCACCTGGGGTGAAGCTACCATTGCTTCTGTGAAGCAATTTCACATCAATCTTATCCAATACAGGGTCATTGTGTTTGAATTTCCATGCAAAGGAAACACAACTTTCAACCGTCTTGCCTGCATCATTCAGGGTGAGTGTGGGGATGCTGTTTTGGAACATCCCATGATATATAATGCATGTCACTATTGACAACAATGGGGATAAATTCTGGGGCATTGCATACAACAGTCTAGAAGTATCCTTCAAGAGAAGAGATGAAGTTTGGGTAGTAGTGTAGTACATAATAATAGGCTAATATAATTAGGAATCTACCTAATATATATTTAGGAATCTGCCTAATATATATTTAGGAATACTTTGTATTTTGGCAACTCTTCTATTATAAATATATCTGTCAGGACTCCTATTGGAGTACCTCTTTCCCATTATTTCACATGGTATCAAGAGCTTAGGTTTTTAGACACATTTTTTTCTCTTTTTTTTTTTCGGTTCCCATGAACCTTATTATAGCCGCCGCCGCCTCGGGGTCGACTGCCGCCACATTTACGGTAGTCTCCGATCCTTTGAAGATGAGCGCGGCTAGTATGGCGCAGATCACCTCCTTCGCGTCGCTGAACACGGTGCTTGCTTCCAGCATGTCGTTGAGTTCGCCGCCTGCTGCTGCCTATGTTCGCGCAGCCCACCTTCTCTGCGTCGCTGACCACGGTGCTTGCTTTCAAGCGCGCTGTTGAGTTCGCCGCTTGCTGTTGCAGACATATATTCTCATGGAGATCTTATTGTCAAAGATGTGCCTTCTAATCTTCCGCTCACAGATATATTTACTAAGAGTTTTTTTTTTTTTTAGTTTTCAATTTCATTTTTTTAAAAGACAACCTGCGCGTTGTATCTCCCGCACAGTTTGAGGGGGTGTAATAGGCTAATATAATTAGGAATCTACCTAATATATATTTAGGAATCTGCCTAATATATATTTAGGAATACTTTGTATTTTGGCAACTCTTCTATTATAAATATATCTGTCAGGACTCCTATTGGAGTACCTCTTTCCCATTATTTCACACATAAGAGGGTCATGTGAAGATTGTCCCAACCCCATATTCGGTATCCCATGAATGCCCTTGAGACTTGAGAGCACCATCCAAACTGAACCAGGTAAGAGTCTGCATGCTGTGGGTAAATCTCTCTGTGACCATAACTCCATAAGTATGTCTGACTTGATATTGTGATATAGGCCCGAGTCTATAATCCAAGGCATATCGCCTTGGATGCTCAATGAAGTTCAAATCTTGCTTCAAACCAGAGAATGTATAGCGAAAGTCTTGAGTCACCAAGGGATAATCTGAAGCACTATGATTGATAAATTGATCCCATTCTAAGTTAAGTGCCTCTTGAGAAGAATGGCACAAGTAGTGCTGGACTCGGGCCGGGCGGCCCGGCCCGGAACCGGCCCGGTTACTTTTTGGCCCGGCCCGGACCGGGGCCCGGTGGGTCCCTCGGTTCGGTTCGGCCCGGCTGCTGGGCGGTTCGGGCCCGGGCCCAGGTTTTGGTGAACCGGCCCGGCCGGTTCGGGCCCGGTCCGGGCCGGATTTTAATTTTTTTTTTTTTTGAAATTTTTTTAAGTTTTAGGTTGGATTAGGTATTTTGGGCCATTTGAGGTGGTTTGGGATGGTTTGGGGTTGAGGGGGAGGGGTAGGGGATTGAATAGGAGAACAAAAAAAAAATTAATTGGGCCGGTTCGGCCCGGCCCGGACCGGCCCGGTTTGGCCCGGGACCGGGACCGGTACCGGCCACCGGCGGTTCGGGCTCGGGCCTCCCTTTCCTGGCCCAAGGCCCGGCCGGGCCCAGGCCCGAACCGGGCCGAGTCCAGCACTAGGCACAAGCATAAAAAATATTAGCAACCAATCCAACCATTGTGGGGACTCGATAAGTAACGTTTTGCTTTTGTAATCATGTGGACATTCCCAACCTGGGGAAAAATATGATCTTTCTCGAATCTGTATCCTGGAGGCCAGTTATAGACTTCTAGTATTTCCATAGCTGGGGATTTCAGGTCTAGGAGACAATGTAGTAGTTACGTGGGTGGTATAATGCTTTTGTTGATAAGTGCCATGTCAGATAGCAATATGCAGGATGGAAGGACCACTAAGGAGGAGGTGGTGGAGATTGCCTGGTAACAACTGAACTTTCTCATTTGTTTATCTGCCGAGTGAATTAGAGGTTTTTTTTGTATAAATTACTTCTAATACATGAGAGTAATTGTTGTGCATGGTCTTTGGACGCATATGAATGCATATAGAGATCTTATTTGATCTGGTGCTTCTGCGTTTTATTTTTAATTGAGCCGATATGTTGTATGAAAGATTAAAAGGATAGTTAAATGATTGTGGGTATTAACTTCTTTGATATTCAATCAGGATTACAATTTCCAATTTTCAAATAGTCTCAATCTTGAAGCATCCCTAGGGTTTTTATTTTATAAATTCCTGTTTGTTGATTCTCAGAAAAACATTTTGTGGTGTTTTTGTAACCATTAATACATTCGCAAATGATTAATTTAAGGGCGTGAAATATCTCCCTTTTCGTAGAAGGCAAAGACGTGTAAACAACCATCCTGCCCAAATGCTACTATATTTCTTTCTCTAAATAAAATTAAAATACCACCATATTGAAATAATAAAATTATGCTGTTTTGACAGCAATATTACTATATAAAAACTCATGGAAACAAATAAGACTAATTTTAAAAGTTTCCAAGAAAGACTTGTAGGATTTAAATCCTTTCTAGTCACCAGTGACCATCGTCGCTCATCCAGTCACTATTGGCACCCGTTTGTCGCCCGTCTAATGACCATTGTTGCCCTGACAGTTACCACCTGCACAAGCCTCCCTTCTTGGGGTGGTTTGGGGGTGAGGGGGGAGGGTTGGGGGTTAATTAGGAAAAGCACAAAAAAAAAAATTAAGTTGAACCGAGGCCCGGGCCGGTTCCGGGCCTCCCCTTTCTTGAACCGAGGCCCGGCCGGGCCCAGGCCCGAACCGGGCCCGAACTGGCCCGAGTCCACCCCTGCACCCCCATCCTCAGCCTCTCCACTACCAAACACATCTTTCCCGCCCCTGCCCCCAACCCTTCCCCAGTCCCAGTGACACCACCCCCAAATGAGTACGCCTAGCCCACAACAATGACATACATACCCTAGTAGCCCCACCATGACGATCATATTGAGGCTCCATCAAGGACATCGATGATGACAATGACAACTGGATAGAAAGAGATGAACAAGAAGAGTGGCAAAGGATGGTGGTGCGACAGTGATGGGCTTAGCTGTAGTGACGACACATGACAAAGATTAGAGTGCAGTGGTGGTGTACGGTGATGATGGCAGCACACAACAATGATGCAGTGCGGTGAATGAAAACCAGAGGTGAGCCAACAATGATGATTCAGTGAGGAGATCAAGCTTTAGTATTAGGATTTTTAGTATTTATATGTGAGCTTTTCAGTCTTTTTTACGGACTTACGGAGCATTACTTTTGGTCTCTTTTGTCTAAATCAAAATATTTAGTATCATTTATGTCATTATTTCTACAATCATAATATGGCATTAAGAAATGAAGTATGATCTCATCATAGTTTCAAGATGGCAATACTAACTTCTATACAAATAAAATACATAGTACTCATATTAGAAACACACCTTATTTTAACTCCTATAGTCCTATTTAGGGCAATATCTTTTGATTAAGATCACACAGCTCTTTAGAAACGTACATATAATTAAACCGGATTGAGACCAGTTCGTTTTGCGCCCGGAGTAGGATTCGCTTTCAAGTTCTGGAACAAATAGTTGAATAACGTAAATTGATCTATAGTGACTCCAGTTCTTCCATAATAAGGATGGGCTGGGACTGGTTAAAAAGGGCCAAAGGACCACAACTAGAGCGGAGAAGAACTGTGAACCAGAACATCGGGGTATACCAATTGCATTTAAGGTAGGCATATATTTGGACCGGAGGCCGGAACCAGGCCAGGTCCATCCCTAGTTCCTACTTTCAGTCAACTTTACGAGTTGCACACATCTAAAGTTGTAGAGTTAATCCTTTTGTTTGTTTCATTTTTTGTAATGCACAGTCAAATAAAGCAAAATAAAGTTGACTATCAAGTCTATGCTGAGATTGGTAGATAGATTGTTTAATTACTGCACATATCTCTCTAATGATTAATAGATGTCTTCGTCCTGTTTCTGCCTAATAGCTGTCTTCATCCGTTTCAGGTCTTCGAAGGTAGTACCTCAGGCAATTTAGCAGCACCTGCATTTTAGTTTTTAACATCTCAACTTCTAAGACAGAGATAGATAGTTTAATGAATGTGACTAATTCTATTGCTAGCTAGTAGCTACTCCCTCCGGTTCATTATAAATGTCATCTTTATATATATAAAGAGAATATGGTGGAGATCCAAATAGAAATCTATTTGGAGCCAGAAGAAGTGAAAAATTGTTGTCACAATTAATTAAACATTATTTAATATGTCATAGTAGAAACCTCATTAATTGTTGTAAGTTACAAATACAAATTAGAAAAGTAAGCATATAGACATTACATATAAATAAAATTATTAGAAAAATATTAGAAACATTTACATACATAATTAGTTAATAGACATTTACATACATAATAAATTTTAAAACGAAATGTTCTAACTTTAGAATATAAAAAAAGTACTTCGTATTAAATTATATTCATGAATGACGAATTCAGATACAAATATTATTAAAAAGGAAAATGATACTACCTCCGTCCCCTAAGTTTGGGACAAAGGGGTGTGGTGTGGTTTTTAAGAAAACGTAGAATTGTGTGGTTGATATCGAATTGATAAAGTGTGAATAAATTAATAATGAATTCTAGCCACTCAAACATTACATAATATGGTATGGGACAAACTTAATGTGACGGACGAAAAAGGTAAAATGGGACAAACATAGGGGGACGGAGGGAGTAGTAATTAGTACCCCCATAAAATGTGAATGAAATTGATTTGCATGTGAAATACAACAACAACAACAACAACAACATCCAAGCCTTAGTCCCAAAAGATATTGAGGTCGGCTAACATAAATCGATACATGAGATCACCGCCAAAAGGAAAAGAAAGAAAATAATTTAAAGATAAAAAGATAAGCTATCTTTATATATATAAAGAGAATATGGTGGAGATCCAAATAGAAATCTATTTGGAGCCAAAAGAAGTGAAAAATTGTTGTCACAATTAATTAAACATTATTTAATATGTCAATAGTTAATAACAATCAATGATTAAGTAGAAACCTCATTAATTGTTGTAAGTTACAAATACAAATTAGAAAAGTAAGCATATAGACATTACATATAAATAAAATTATTACAAAAATATTAGAAACATTTACATACATAATTAGTTAATAGACATTTACATACATAATAAATTTTAAAACGAAATGTTCTAACTTTAGAATATAAAAAAAGTACTTCGTATTAAATTATATTCATGAATGATGAATTCAGATACAAATATTATTAAAAAGGAAAATGATACTACCTCCGTCCCCTAAGTTTGGGACAAAGGGGTGTGGTGTGATTTTTAAGAAAACGTAGAATTGTGTGGTTGATATTGAATTGATAAAGTGTGAATAAATTAATAATGAATTCTAGCCACTCAAACATTACCTAATATGGTATGGGACAAACTTAATGGGACGGACGAAAAAGGTAAAATGGGACAAACATAGGGGGACGGAGGGAGTAGTAATTAGTACCCCCATAAAATGTGAATGAAATTGATTTGCATGTGAAATACAACAACAACATCCAAGCCTTAGTCCCAAAAGATATTGGGGTCGGCTAACATAAATCGATACATGAGATCACCGCCAAAAGGAAAAGAAAGAAAATAATTTAAAGATAAAAAGATAAGCTATTATAAAAAAGATAATGTATAAAGAGATGAATATACCTAAAAACGATAAAATAAAAAGGATAAAAGTAGTCTATATATATAAGGATAAAAAGATTAAAAAAAACACAAGCAAAAAATGAGGGGAAAAGATGATTTGCATGTGAAATATAAAGAAAATTATATGATGGAGATTTGTGCAGATCGTAGAAGGAAAAAATAATTTACCCACAAACTTAATACTTTAAATAGAAATCACCAAAGTTGCATAAATAAAGTTATCAAAGTTTAACGAGACGAGAGAGGAATTGTTATTGGTAATCAGTTGCAAAATAAAATAAATATGCATTCATTTAATTCTATTACATCTATTCATAAAAAAAGACGATTTAAATAAATTTATCCATTAGTAAATAAGTAACTATATTAAAAAGAATTCAATCCTTACTAGCTAGATGCAGACAATTGAATAAGAGGAATTGTTATTGGTAATCAGTTGCAAAATAAAATAAATATGCATTCATTTAATTCTATTACATCTATCTATAAAAAAAGACGATTTAAATAAATTTATCCATTAGTAAATAAGTAACTATATTAAAAAGAATTCAATCCTTACTAGCTAGATGCAGACAATTGAATAAGGAGAATATGATTGTATTTTATCAAATTTAACACGAATTTGAACTTAACTGAACTAGAAATTAATTATAAGGAAATAAATAGCCACTTTCACAACAATACATTGAAAAAACATAAAAGGGTCAATACATTGATAACTCACTAATAAGTAAACATAGCATGTCGATCTACAATTCATATGATTGGTCTATATCGTTATAAAAATTTCTATACTATGATACCCACTAATAATTTATGTGGCTGATATTGAATTGATAAAATGAGAGTAAAGTAGGAATGATTTAGAATCATACCAACGTTACCAAATTTGGTATAAAACAATCTTAATGAGACAAACTAAAAAGGAAAAATGAGACAATTTTAGTGGGACGGATGAAGTAGTATCATACATGGACTCTAATTTATTTTTATATCATATTTTTATACAATAACTATGTATATACACATTTCTCATGAATTATTTTAAAATAAATTATTTCATCTTTTATATCCGTGCAACGCACGGGTGGATTGACTAGTTTTCAAATAAATCAAGCACGTTAAAGAGTTATTAAATAAACATTACAATATAACATCTTACTAAACCTTAATACAGAAGATACGATTTGCACAAGGGTCTTTAAAAGGAAAAGAATTAAAATAATAGCTAAACTAACTCATTGTGAACTGGAAGTACACCATGTAGAACCTCTCTCCCATTTGGTATAATGTACTTCTCTTTTCAGTTCCTCCTAAAAGAATGTTTCTTTTTCTAATTTTAACGCCAAAAACTTGAAACTTTTATCAACTTATCTATTCAACATCATAGGTATGTTTGTTCTTACGGTTTAAAACACAATTATAGGGCTTTTCTGTGTTCAGACACTAACATAGAAGCGAGAGATAGAATGGATTAGTTTTCCATTGAGTCAACGGAGAAACAAATACACACTTACTTGGTGGCACTCTGAAATGAAGAACCAAAGAAAAGAAGAGTATTCAGGAAACATGAAGATGGCAAGGAGAAGAGCCCATTTTATTCCATATTCTCCATATAAAAAGACAAGATGATCATGAATATAACAATAATACAACCTACTTTCCTACTAATGACCACTAGATAATATTATAATAATGATATAAAGCTAATAATAATACTACCACTGCACATTGGTTCATCACTGTTTTTGCTTCTTTTAAAAGGGCAAGTTTGTAAACTAAACTATATCACCTTTATTTGTTAAATAAGGGTGTCAAACTCAAATGTATTCATCAATGTTAGCTTAATCAGTAGACACTAAACAAGAAAATGATGGTGTTTTGCAGTATTGCATGCAATCAACTAAGTTTTGTTGATTGAGGATTCGAGGGTCATTAAAATTCCTAAGATTAGCATAAACTACTTCATAAAAAAATACGTAGTACTTCCTAAAAAGACAACCGGTAACAGTTTTACCTGTGACAAGGAATTGTTTAAGGCTGCCCCTCTATAACTGACATAAAACTTGTCTTTGGCTATAAGCCCCTGCAAAGGAAAAAAAAGAGAACTCATCGGTAAGGAATGAAATGTGCATCCACTGTTTGGCACATGGGTGGCATATATAGAATTATAGATACATACCTCTGTATCAATTTCTGCCGATTCAACATCAACATTAATGTCAGCCATAATCTTGATTATTTCCATCAGCAGCCCAGACCGATCAGCAGTTTCAACATAAAGCATGCTGGAATGGCAGAAAAACAAAAAAGAGAACCATGTAAGCTAAATAGACCCACATATATTGGAAAAAATGACCTTCATTGAACGGTATGACATAGTTATATTTACAGCTCCAATGATTATGATTCCTCACCTCCTCTTAGTCCCTTCGTTCTCAACATGTATGTGAGTGGCAACATCAATGTCAGGCTGCCATGATTCAACACATTAAATTCCCAAATGCAAGATATATGCTCCCACCCCCAACCAAAAGGAAAGAACACCAGAACTCACTCACGGACTACAGATAAACATATAGTCCTAAAATCACTCCATTATTTTTAATGTCTTCAAGGTGTTAAGAGAATATTTTTCCTAAAATCAAGAAAATATAGAAGATTAGTAGTAGAAAATGTTCTATTAATGTTCTCTTTGTATCATAATGTGATAGTTATTGGAGAATAATTTTCTCTAAGCAACAGTTAATAGACGAGTGGTTTATGAAGTATCACCTTCTTTTCCGGTGCTTTTATTCCAAAAACCTCACCCATCGCAAGCCATTGGCTAGACTCCTGATGGAACAAGCAACCAATAACTGAGGAGAAAGAATCTAAACGTGGAAGCAGTATGAAGTACACGAAAGATGCTAATAATGCTATCTAATATAATGTTAACTTTTTTGTTTATAGGATTTATAGGATAAGGGAATTAATGTCATAAAAAACATACTGGATGGTACTTGATAAGGTTGTTGATGATGGTCAAGCGAATTCTTTCTAGCAAATCAGGGTCTTCAACTTTTCGCCCAGTTGCTCTAAAGAATAACAACACTACAATCAATGACATGCAAAGAAATTGCATATGAAGGTAAAAGTCTATTTATGCTTGACTCTATAGACAACATTATTAAATATACATCTGAGTCGCACAAAACTTAATTTAACATGACAAATAAAGGATCAAACTCTTGAAATGTAAAATGTTTAATAAAATGAAATAAAGGCGCAACATGGACAAGGAATACATTTTGACCGCACTAATTATAATTATTCATCCCTTTGTGCTACCATGATAGCTATGTCTGAGTATAACAAACAGGACACTTACTGGTGTGTAATGATAAATTTTGTGCTTTTCACCGAGCCCTCCGTAGTAACAGTGCCTTTCTTAACATCCAAACCTAAATCGTTTAGTGCCTTCATCTGAATGAGAAGATAAATGAAATTAAGATCCATAAGGTTGCTATTTATTACAGCAGCAACTATTGAGATCCTTCATAAAAGATTGTGCCGTTTAAAGAAAATTTAAATAAATAAACCATTGGCCAACACTCTTATAGCAAGCATACCAAACATGCTTTGAGAATGTACACAACGAATGGATAGGGATCAAAAATTTGTTGTTATATTGAAGCATCTATAAGGATGATGGAAAATAATCCTTTATCTATATTGTGTTAATATTGTTATAACGCTCCTTTCGGCCTCTTTTCACTTGAGGAATACCTAAATATGGAATAAGAACTACAGAGGTAGGATAAAGAAAATTAAATTAGTGAACATTGTACATAATGGATCCGCCAAGTAAAGAAAGGTTGCCCTAATGGTGCAAAAATGGCTACATTATTGGCATAAATTGATTTGTCTTATTTAATACTCTGTATAATCTTGCCACATTTCATAGCTGTGCATAAGAAAACAGGGGTAGTCCATGACTTCACCGTATCAATAAGGGCACCAAGACGATCTCCAAAACTAAGTTCCACACGTGTTTCATCACTTTCAGGGTCTTGGACTATCTGAACAATTGGTGTTGGAACATCAAGAGACTCTTCCTGCTCCTGAAAAATCAACATGTTTTTAGTGTCATGAGTTTAATAGCTGATATAAATTTGTAGGAACTATGAACTCTTTATAGGATCAAGTGCTTACATATTAATGAAATAAAATAAAAGAAACTTTTTATGATTTCAAAATCGAACTATCCAAGTCTTACCTTGTTACTTTTTCTCTTAAAAGTTCAGTGCCTTCTTAAAGGTGTAATCAATTAAAATGCAAAGGTACCAACAAGTCCAAAAAATGTCCAAGTGATCCAAATCTGCATTTACCTATTCTTCTGATAAGAAGAATGATTATATTTCCCTTAAGGTAAGGCCTTATATGCAAGCCTTATGTGTCTCCCAGGGCAGTCGTCGTACCCCACCAAAGATCCCAACATTAAATGATTGAGGCTCAACTTTCTGTTCTTCTACAAAACTACAACCTAATCTCCCCCAAGTGTCAAGTTTTTGAAAAAGTAAAAAACTAGTCTCCAGTACGATGCCATTGAAAATGTTTCAGTAATGTTTTATTTCCTTCAAGTATATGTCAAACTGTTACTATTCAAACAATAACTCACATTATAGCTTCAGCCATAATAAATGATAGAGTCAAACTAGGAAAGCGCTAAGAAGGATCAAAATTACTTAAACATTTAATCCAAATATCTGTACAACACAAATTACATAATAATGCAATATGCTAACTTCAGCAATTTCAGGATCACACAAGTATCTTCTGGAACTTGTACATCAATTAAGGGAAGTCTAACTTACCAATTCCAGTGAAAAGCTCGATGAATCCACACCATGAACAGTGAAAGAAACAGAAACCCTGTAAAATGTCTGACACAATATTCATATCGCCAGGACATAAGAAATCATTCAAGCATACATGTACTTATCCAAATTTGCAATTTGCACACTGATCTATGAGTTAAATTTGCAAAAGCTCGATGAATCCACCGGTGATTAAAACATCTAGTGTTCGCTAAGATGAACCAACGTATGAGGTATACACTAGGTCGTTAAGAAACGGTTATGAAATTCAATTTTGTCCGAAATTCACGATTCCAGCGATGAAAATTGTAGTATATATTCTGAGGAGTACTCCGTATATAGTTATAGTATACGAGCACTAGCAGATAATCAATCAGAGATGCATAAGATAATTGACGACGCAAATTCAAATGCACAGATTATTCTATGTGATCAAGCAAGTGAAATAAACACCAAAACATGTACAAAACGACGGAAAACGTGATAACAGTCAAGACAAGAGGGACTCTATGCGCCTGCATTTATTTTTTTTTTCTTTTGTAAAATACATTTTAGGATGAAATGTGGTTGTTCCGGCGCGCAAAGTTCTGCGGTGAAGCGTGGAGCAAAGCTTGTATAGCGTGAATCGCGGACCGGCGGCATAATCCGTGTTGAAAAATGCAGATCGCGGCGGAGTGTAGGCGATATTGAAGAAAGCGTTGGATATAGCCATAGAAATGGAGACGCTGAATGTAGAGCCAAAGTCTGGTCAGCAGCAAATCAATAGCAGAAAACTGAAAGACTATATTTGGAGCTGTGGATAGGGAGTGATTCCGTGTTTTTGTGTCAGCTTTGGACCCGCTGGAGGGATATCCGGGCCTCTTCTGCTCCGACTTGCAAGTTGCACCATTAAATTTGAATAGTACTCCACAAAATACAAACGAGGTAACAGGTAAGTGTTTATGACTACGTCAACTTGTATAAGGTGGAATAAAGAGTACATTATGTTACATTTGATCTTTTTAAATATACAAACTTAGTTTTTTAATGTTAAATGAATACGAGTACACTCGTTATATTAACACGTTAATACGACCGAGTTGACTAACAAAATGTTAATGTGTCGGCTTCTTGAAGGTCGACGCCAGCCCCACTCCCTTGATCAAATTTTCCTTGATCGATGTCAGCCCCGCAGGTCGACTTCTACTTGGTCGATGCGCCCCTTCAGTTCGACCTCCGAAGGTCGATTTTTCCTTTTTGGTCGACTTCGTGAAGGTTCACGTCATAATCTTGGTCCATTACCTCTTCTTACTCAACATTCTATTAGTCAACTCAACCATATTAACATGTTAATCCAATAAGTGTACTCAATGCAATATAGTGTACTTTTTACTCCACCTCATGCAAGTTGATGTACTGAATTGACACTTTGCTCAAATACAAACCCATCCCTTCACGACTTCAAATTGGTGATTCTATCTTTTCCAAAAATAAATTTTATAGTTTTTTTTGGGGTGTGCTCATGTGTTGTGTTATGATTATTTTAGGCGAGGAATATCATGTGCATCTTGTTTTCCTTTTATAAATTTTAATTATACAATCTCCCTATAAAATAATCTAGCAAAACTTAAAAATAGACTAAGAAGCTGTTCCGTTCACCTGATCTGAATGTTTCTGATCTGAATTTTTAAAGTTCTAATCTGATCTGATCTGAATTTTTCTGATATGATCTGATCTGAATTTTTCTGATCTGATCTGATCTGATCTGAATCTTTCTGATCTGATCTGAATCTTTCTGATCTGATCTGAACGTTGCTGAACTGATCTGAATGTTGCTGATCTGATCTGATCTGATCTGAATGTTTCTGATCTGATCTGAATGTTTCTGATCTGATCTGAATGCTTCTGATCTGAATCTTTCTGATCTGATTTGAATATTTCTATAATTGTAATTATAATTATAATTATTAGATTTATAATTGTAATTAAAAATATAACTTAAATAAAATTACAATTATAATCATAATTATAAAAAAATAATAATTAAAATTAAATTTAAAATTATAATAATTATACCAATTACACTAATTATAAATACAGATACAATTATAAATGTAATTATATTTTTAATTATGATTAATTTTATAATTATTTTTTTTTGTAATTATAATTATAATATTTATCTCTATAATCATAATTATAACTATAATTACTAATTTAAATATATAATTACTCCAAAGTAATAATAATTACAAAAATAACAACAAGAACAACAATCATATTAATAATAATGATGATTATAATTATAATTACATTGTAAATCATAATTATAATTATAATTATAATTATATTATATTATATTATATTATATTATATTATATTATATTATATTATATTATATTATATTATATTATATTATATTATATTATATTATATTATATTATATTATATTATATTATATTATATTATATTATATTATATTATATTATATTATATTATATTATATTATATTATATTATATTATATTATATTATATTATATTATATTATATTATATTATATTATATTATATTATATTATATTATATTATATTATATTATTATAATATAAAAATAATTTTATATTATTAACATTATTATTATATTATTATTAATAATATTATTATATTAATATATTAATATTATTAACAATAACTATAATATAATAATCATAATTAATATAATAATAAAAGTGATAAATCATGTTTGAATTTTTTGATCTGATCTGATCTGAATGTTTCTGATCTGATCTGAATGTTTCTGATCTGGTCTGATCTGGTCTGAATCTTTCTGATCTGATCTGAATGTTGCTGATCTGATCTGAATCTTTCTGATCTGATCTGAATGTTTCTGATCTGATCTGATCTGATCTGAATCTTTCTGATCTGATCTGATCTGAATCTTTCTGATCTGATCTGATCTGAATAAAATAAGATTAAGGAATAAGTAATAAGATTAAGACGAACGGAACAGCTTCTAAATAATTGATATAAAAAATAAAATAACTTATGTCAATATTACTTTGAATATAACCTTGCCTTTTCGTTCGTCCAAAAAAGCATTCTCAAACATCAGAAATGTGCTCTTAGGGTATGTTTGGCACAACTAGCTAAAAAGTTACTTTTACTGACTGTTTAGTAACTGTTAGCTTTTAGTAATTGAAAAGATCTTAAAAGTAAAAGGTAGTAACTGTTTGGGAAAAAGCTGACTGTTTGGTTTAGTTCTGTTTGGTACGGAAGCTGTTGGGACTAATTAATGCTAAAAGTCACAGACTTTTTTCAAATGCTACCACCTGTAGCATCTCAAAAAAGAGCTTTTTATTTTTTGAAAAGCTCTTATAATTGTCATACCAAACATACAACTAGGAGCTTTTAGAGACTTTTTAAATAATACAAAAGCTAGAAGGCATGGACTTTTGGGTGCCAAACATAGCCTTATGGTTCTTGATGCGCTCACCAACTCACCACAGAGATCACAAATCAGAGCTAAGCAACACATAGTCTCTGCGCCTCTGCGTAATCTACTTGTGAATTTCGTTCGTAGGGTTTTGTCATTATTTATCAAAAGCTACCTTAGTCTGTACTTATTTCCCTGGGAAATCAATGGGTGTTGGAATATCTGTGCTGATAGGCCTAAAAGCAGCAACTTTATTCGCAGTATTCGTGTTTCTTAGAAATCTTGGTTTCGAATGGTTATCAGCCCCTTTTCTATATGCTTCACTCATATCTGTATTGATTTCAATAGCCTCTCACCCACTAATAAATCTCCCAATCCTGCTGGGCAAAAGCTCTGATGGGACTTTACCGCTATGGTCCCTTGCAATGTTCAGCCCATACTTGTTTTTTGCTAGGGCGTTCTCTGCTTTGACAAGAAAGAAAAGTGGGGAGCCTCCTTATACTGAGGTATGTGAGGGTTTGTATGTTGGAGGGTGGCCTTCTTCTCCTGATAAATTGCCACCAGGTAAACCTGCTATTGTTGATTGCACCTGTGAGTTACCAAGGAAGTTGGAGCTGTCTGGAAATCATCCATACTTCTGTATTCCAACATGGGATACCAGGTCACCTCAGCCAGCTGATATTGAGGCTGCTGTGAAATGGGCTTGTCGAAAAAGAGCTCAGAAGGTTCCGGTGTTTGTTCATTGTGCATATGGTTTGTGACTAGTCTCAACTTTACATGGTTGCATTTTTCATTATTCACTAAGTTCTATTTGTAGTGTAACATATGTTGATAATGGTTTTGGGGTATCATCTCATCATTTTGCATTAATTTCAGTGCTAACTAATTTTAGATAACATGGTAATTTTCATAAATTTGGCGCCACCAATAACAATTTGGTTAGAATTAGAGTGGTTATGATGATACTTGACAATAGCTTGAGCGGACATCAATTTGATCATATCATATTCTAACTGCTTATTTGTTTCTCACACTCTTTCCGTCTCAAAAAAAGATTCCAGTTTGTAATTCTGTTTCCACTTTCTAGTATTATTACAAACACAGATGCTTTATTTGGGATAATAAAGTTAGCATTATATTTGAATATATGAGCATGGCTGGGGAACCTTCTGTTGCTTTTTAGCTGCTTACAAGAATTACTTCAATAGGAGTAATGTGTTGAATTGTCTCAAACCCTGCGGTCCCTGCCTAGATCTCTGTTATCTATTAGCTAAGTGAAGTGTGATGATGAGAGTCGTGTTTGATTCTGTGGAACTTTGCAAGTTGTATTGTCTTTGATATATATGTAGCATCTTGTTCTCAAGATGCCAGGATGATTTGTTGATAACTGTGGATACCGGTGTTTGAAATGTTCTGTCATCAAATAAATTTGAAAAAGTTTCATTTAACTTTTAGGATTTATTTCATGTGTGCCCGTGGATATATGATATAGAATATTATGGTGCTTATTTTTAAGGTTTAAAGAAAAGTTTGATAGTTCCAAGAAAAAATGCAGTTTAAAAAATTGATATGATTATCACACCAAAACTAATACATGCATCACTATCATCAAGGACAATGTAAGAAAACTATTAGCATTGGATATTCATTAATTGTTTCTTATGTAAATCTCACCTGGGGACAAAGTGACACATATCGGACGACTTACTAGTTTTTTTTTATATTTTTAATATGTAAAAGAAATCATACCATGGCATAGCAAAACATCAAGACAATATATTTCTTGGTTTCATGCATTTACATTCTGTTCTTGTAAGATGATCGCTTTCATTATTGGGGTATGCCTTTACATGTTTCAGTGCATCTCAACTTCCTGCATGCATAGCTAAACATATTTTTCCTCAAAAGGGTAAAATATGTTATTTTTGCTGAAGGGTAAATAAGGAACTACATTTTCACAAAAGTAGATCTAAAGCAAATATCAGTCAAAAACATTTGATGATCTTAAGCAGAAGGCATGATTAAGGATGTTTTTACTTGGACTGTAATTTGCTGGTCTGGTCTAGTCTAGTCTGACCTGGTCTGGTAAGGTCTTGTTTCTTTGTATTTTTATAACTATCCAAGTTTGGTCTGGTCTGGACTGGTCTGGGACAAATTACAGTCCAAGTAAAAACATCCTAAGACTTGAGAGACTGGAAAATAAATCGATTTTGCAAGCTTTCCTGATAGTGAAGAACTGAAAATCTTTTAGCAAATATTTTGTTTTGGTTCGTGTGCCAATATAAGACTAGATAGCATGAAAAAGAAATCCGAGTAAGTTAAAACCATCTTAGAGCCCCATTTGGCAGTCATTATCAGCAAGACATTTTGTACGGAGTACGCTTTGGCTGAAAAGGTTGTTATTTTATTCTTCTTTCAAAACAATCAGTAAGTTAAGCCATTTAGCCAAATAAGCTTTCCAAACGAGCA